TTTTTTGTTATAAATACAACAACGTTTCACAGTAAGCCAAACGTGACCCGACTAGAATGCGAAGAAAAGAGGGTGATTTACTGGGAATGTTGGTTTAAATATGGAACCGGCTAGCCATGAGTGGCGCCCTAAAGGGGCGCCGACGAACGACTAGCCGCTGATCTGGTGGGTTCGCCGAAGGTACACCTCGGGCCGGCGAAATTTATATAAAATTGCTCATTGATCGAATCTCACCGGTTGAAAGTGTTTGAAAACTGCGAAAAACTCAGTGCGGTAATATGAGTTTTGATCCTCGATAAATGAACTGGAATAAGGAGTTACGAACCAAGAATAGCGATAATGACAGACAAAGGGCTGAAATTGTAGCTTCAGACGGGAGAAGGTCTTGCAGAAAAATGCGAATGAAATGTATGTTACTGTGTGCAAAGATTAGGAACATTAACAATTTGTCAAAAAAATCACAGAGCGAAAGGATTAAGAAGAAAGTGAAGGACTGTTTAAAACCATACCGATGTCATATATGAAAGCGAGCAGTCGCGAGTGGTGGCTCGTATTGACACTAGCGACTAACTGTGAGCTACCTCTTACGGTAAAATTTGGAAAATCCTAGGAGAAAATTGAAAAGCGAAATGTTGTTAGAAAGTGGTCGTCTCCTACAATAGTATACGGTTTTTTTCATATATATATGTGTATATAACAATAGTTTTCACAACGAAATCTAGAAGGTAATGATAGATAGTGAATGGACGGGATTCAGTCGAGGGCCAAGCGAGTCGTAACGACGAGCGTTACTTGTAGTAGATGGATGCAAAATGACCTATGGTGAAAATCTAGTATTTTCTGATTTTCTTGGACTTGGTCTGTGCTATCGTGAATCGGAATACATCATTCGATAGAGCTCATCGAGTTGTACTCGGAACACCAGTGGAACGTTTAGAACATGTTCCTGGGCGAATCTTGGCGGGTTTTACTGCATAAAATACAGGATTTTTCTGGTGATACACTAGTATTTTTAAATTTTCTCAGACTCAGTTTGAGTTATGGAAAATCTGAACACGCCATTCGATAGAGCGCGTCAAGCTGTACTTGGAACACGAATGGAACTCTTGGAACATGCTCCTGAGCGAATCTTGGCGGGTTTTACTGCATAAAATCCAGGATTTTTGTGGTGATACACTAGTATTATCAAATTTTCTCAGACTCAGTTTGAGTTATCGAAAATCTGAACACGCCATTCGATAGAGCGCGTCAAGTTGTACTCGGAACACGAATGGAACACTTGGAACATGCTCCTGAGCGAATCTTGGCGGGTTTAAGTGGATGGATGCAAAATCACCTATGGTGAAAATCTAGTATTTTCTGATTTTCTTGGACTGTGTTTGAGCTATCGGGAATTGGAATACACCATTCGATAGAGCTCATCGAGTTGTACTTGGAACACACCTTGGGACAGTTGGAACATGTTCCTGGGCGAATCTTGGCGGGATTTACTCGAATCTGGTGCTAACTTCACCTACGTAATTACGACCTATATTTTTGATAGAACTTTTTTTCAAGGGCTTCTTTGATCAACTCGCAATATGGACAGGACTGAAAATTGATAATATATTCGATGCTTGGGTTATTGCTGATACAATCATAATTGAGGTAATATATATATGTGTCTTTATTGAAAATAAATCCATTCCCTTGTTATTCTTCGAAGGGCTTCTACAATATAAATCCATCATGGGCGAGTCCCTCCGTACTCAGTCAACTTGAACAAATTTCTGCATTATCTTTATATCATCTATTCTCTTTTTCTGAAATGAATAAGATTCGAGGAGGCCAGTTCTTCATTTCGCCCATAATTAGAAATTATTATTTAGTCTTCTTGTTTAATTTCGTTTAGGTCCACTTGTCCGAGATATTATGGAAAATATACAAAACTTGATCGCAAACAAGACAAGTGGGCGAAAAGGAAAGATTTATTCTGGTGTAAGTTTAGACCGTTTTTAAGATTCATTTTTCATTCTCATAGGTTTTGATTCTAGCATGATATAACACTTGCTGCAGTATTATCTTTTCTTGGAATAAATTACATTCATCGACCTTCATATGCTAGTGCACTCTTTTTCGACTTGTATCACTTAGCAGGTTGGCAGTTTCAGCTTTCATTGTTTTAAGTCTACAAAGGCATTTTCTCTATTTTGTAAGAAGAGAATAGTTACGCCTTGAAAGTAGAATATCGTAATTCAACAAATAGTCCTACAGCTCAACCAATGCAATTACCACGTAAGTTATTCACTCTCTCAAATATTCTGATTACTTTCTAATATTTTTCGATCCATAGCCTGTTCGAACATGCTCTGTCCCATAGACACATTATTTGAATGGATTGAGAATAGACTACCTAGTAGTAATATGAAAAAAGAATGCATGGCTCAAAGACCTCACCTGCCACGTATGTGGAACATATTCATGAGACTATAGTAGTATGAAAGGATATTTATTTCTTTTAGGCACTGTTCGTACTATTCGTCGCCTTTTTTCTTGATGATTCGTGTATTTTTCTATACGCATGAATTCTCTTCAACGTCAAAATTGTGCAAAGATTCAATTTCAATCCTTCTCTAAATCTGATTATACATCTCGATATGATAGGTTGAATGAATAAAATGTTTTGCATGAAGAACCTAGCTAGAAAAATAAATAAAAAAAAACCATTGTTTGACTGAAGAAGAATTCAGCTAAGTTCTCTAAACTTAACCTAGGCATTGAAAATTTGCCGTCTCAACGATTTTTCGAATTTCAATCTGTTGTTTGTATAATAGATCATCTGTTAAATATTAACACTTCATTTTCAATTGTTGATGATCTACTAAATGTTTACTACAGATCAATAGAAGTTGATTAGTCAAGTAGCTATTGATTATAGCAATATTTTGTTCGTACAATGCCTTGAAAGTAAAATGAAAATATATCTCTATTCATAGCGTTTGAACAAGAAATCAAAATATTTCCTTTTGAAGATTAGAGACAGCACAAAATAATTTGGTAATATTTATTTATCTTGGACAATAAAATGAATTCTTTTTGTTATCATCATCATCTAATCAAGTATAATACAGTTATTACTTTCATTATATTATTTAGGTTTTGTTAATTACAATTGATTCATATTTATTATTTAGCTTATGCTGTTATATTAAATATAACAATGATGTTACATGACTGTGATGTTCAGTACAGATTCATATTGGTTTTCATCATCATGCGTTTCATTTTTTTTGTACCGTCATACTAAAATTGACCATGATAGTTTCAAGATCGAAAATTTCGTCTATTTCTCTTTTCCCATATACACATAAATTAAATACACAATAATTCCTACATTTACAAATTTCACTACACAATATTACATCAATCTCAAGATCTTTTACTTCATATGGAATCTGCTTAGCAAAAGCGGAAGATAGTAGCAAGATGAATCATACAAGAAGCAAGAATATAGAAAAAAAGTCACTGTTTATTTCTGTTGTCAATTGAATTAATGATGTCAGTGATGAGAGAAATTAAAAAGTCTCCTCCTATTGTTTCTCTTTGAGCGTCGACGTCAGGCATAGCCAACTCGTATCTAATATCGTCGGACTTCTTCTCATGCGATATCATCTTGTAGATTTTGTAGTCCATTGTGGGGATGACAATAGGGGCTGTAAGTTCCCCTATCATAATAATCGAGTTTGCTTCAAGACCAGAATGGATAGATTTGGCCGCTCGTCTATGCTTGACTTCCTTGCGGATGAGTTCGTCATCGGCCAATAAGAAGTATTTGTGAAGCATGAGAAGATCTTGATGACAGTAAGAGATATATTCTTCGTATAATGGAGCCTATCTCAGTAGATAGCTTGTTGATTGTGCAGAGTTTCATGTCTTCTATAATACTGATACACTCTCGTTCTTTGGAAATCTCCAATATGTGTGATTGATAATGTAGCAGAGGGAAAAATCCAAATGGTGACAAACTATGATACATTGATGGTAGTGTACAATAATCATGATGCATTTCAAACAGGTAAAAAGTGCATACGAAGTCTTCGATTCTCGTAACTATCATCAATTGTCAATATATAATTTTAATGATAGTTCAGATGAAAACATTATATTTAATGAATCGATCTTATCTCACGTTATCCTTGCTATTATATTAAGTAACTCAGTTTGTGTGACTAATAAACATACCTTATGTCAGCAAAGGTTTTATTGGAAATATCCAATTTGCATCAACCACAAACGTTTCGAGTGGTTGCGAATTCTGCATTCTATTCGAGTTTTCATCTTCAGAGGAAATTCTATGTGTGTAGAGATGGGAATGTGTGGAATATGAATGATGAGAAGACTAACATTTGATATTCACACCCAAACTGACTCCAGGTCATAGCTACTATGCCTAAAAAACCGTAATGTTCTTTCATTGCTGAAATATCAGTTTTTGATAGTGTAGTTTGAGTATAGTGTTTTCTAGTTAAAAAATAATGAGGTTGTCTTATTATTAATTTTTTCAGGTACCTCTCCCTGGTAACAAAGAACAGATCATCATAAACACATAAAAACTACCTCTTTTTGCGTCTAAAATTTCAGAAAAGGTTGCATAAGTGGATGTGGGGTGTCTGGACATCATTGACAGTAGACTCCACACTTACACCCACACCCTTAGATAGGAGTAAATATTAATTTGATGGAAACAAATCAAAAGGAATGGTTCCAATTTCAACTGCAACATATATACATGAATAAGTTATATGCGATAGTAGGAGTAGCACTATATTGTAAATGCGTATCTGATGGAAGACATTGTATGATAAAAAATCATTAATGTGACGTATTTGTCATGTAATATGACAGAAAAAGAAAAGAAAAGAAAAGCGTTTGAAATAAAAAAACCATAGATAGGACATCTGTTACAAGGGACACACTTAATATATTGATCAAATTATTGAATAAGCATTCTTCGGCTTGAAATGGTTGAATTTACATTATTCAAATATGGTAGCATAAATCGTGCAATACATCAAATAAATTCATCAGTTAATCCGTTAGTATTTATTTATTTTGTTGATATAAATTAATAAATTTGAATTTATTCAAATGTAGAAGTTATACAAAACAAAAAACCGGTAATCTTGAAAATGTTTTCTTCCTTTTTTTGTGAATATCATGTGTAGTAATATCATCGGGTCGAAAACGTCTTATTACAAAAGAGGGAGACATTTATTTTCGAAGGTAAATATTTATTATTACAAAATAAAATAAAATACTTTAATATAGATTGAATATTGAAGATCGTTGTCGTTATTTACGAGATATTTTTACATCATTATTAGATTTACCATGGATATTTATATTAGTTTTATTTGTTTTTTGTTTTGCAACATCATGGCTTTTATTTGCTATTATTTGGTATGTTATAATGTTTGTTCATGATGATTTTTCTAACAAAACGTTGAATGTAACTCATAATAATCATATTCCTTGTGTTATTGGTGTCAAATCATTTGGTGGATCACTTCTTTTTTCAATAGAAACTCAACAAACAATTGGTTATGGAACACGATCAGTAACTGAAGAATGTTCAGTAGGAGTAGCTGTTTTAATAATTCAAAGTTGTTTTGGTCTTATCATTCAAGCACTTTGGATTGGCCTTATTTATACAAAATTATCTCGTCCTAGAAAACGTCGTCGAACATTAATATGGTCTCGACAAGCTGTGATATCACTTCGTGATGGAATTTTAACATTGCAATGTCGTTTAGGTGATATGCGTCATAGATCAACATTAATTGAAGCTCATATTAGAATGTATTTTGTTTCAAAACGTCAAACAAAAGAAAATGAAATAATTCCACTTAATTTGTTCGATATGGATGTTGGTTTTGATACAGGAAAAGATCGATTATTTCTTAACTGGCCACTTATTATTGAACATAAAATTGATTCACGAAGTCCATTATATGAAATGAATAAAGAAACACTATCGAAAGAAAAATTTGAAATATTAGTTGTTCTTGAAGGAATTATTGAACCAACTGGAATGGTTACACAAGCTAGAACTTCTTATATGCCTGAAGAAATTCTTTGGGGAGCAAGATTTCAAAGAATGATTCATTTTGGTAAAGATCATTATACCTTGGATTATTCGAAATTTGATTCGATTGTTGAAGATAATGCTACATCTGATTGTTCAGCTAAAAAACTTCATGAACAAACATAAAATAATTAACCTTATATAAATCTATTTATGAATTTCACTTCTTCAGTGTCGTTCAAGCTATTATTCAGTTTTTTCATGAATGCAAAATAGACTATCTTGAGGATGAGAGTCTTCTCTTCATTCTTATTCACTCACTCCCAACCACTCACTACTCACTCTTCGTTTTTTTTCTGTTTTAACAAATGATTACCGCTTTGAGTCACTTGAATTAAAAATCGTGCTTAAACATTGTGCAATCTACCTTGTTATGAACGTCTCATCTTACTATTTTAATTGTGCGGATTTCTTAGAAAATAAAGGACAAATATATAAAAATAAAGATAAGATCAATCGAAATAAAACTGTTTTCTTTTCGGTTTCTACTGCTACAGAATATTTTTGTATAAAGAAGTAAAAGTGGTTTCTTGTTTTCTTTTCTAATTGTAAATTTGTGCGGCAGAGTTATTTAAGTCAGTAAACATAGAAAAGGAGTGTGGGTGTCGATTCTCTCTTCACGTACTCACATCCAAGATCTGTTCGAGTTTCCTCTGCCATTGTCTGAATCTCCTTAATCTATTTGTACTCCCAATCATCGATTCGAGATAGAACAGGATGGGAGCCATCCTTGTCGAGAAGATCTTGTTGAAATAGATTATGTTCCTTCTCAATATTATCTATTTCTATAGCAAGTTCTTGTCGATGTTCATTGAAGTATTTCCTACAAAACTATTGTTGACATCCTGCACATGTTATTATTCCTTCACTTTTACGACATTTTATGCCAAGTTGCTTGGGCACATCTGATGCCATGTCTCAATGCCTGTAAAACGAAATTCAAATATCCTTCTTTTTCGTAGTATTCCCTTTGCACTTTTTTAGTTTCGGATCGAAATTGAAATGCTCAAAGGAGACGATTTGTTGCGACGCCTTGCCTAATAGCAGAAAAAAATCTAATAACAACAGCAACCTTCAGCAAAAAAGAAGTAAATTTGGTCAGTTTTGTCAAGGGTGTAGGTGTAAGTATGGTTGAGTGACTGTGGATATTAATCACGAAAGCGCTCATTTGAATCATACTCATATAAATTGACACTCATCCTCGCACCATGATGAATCATACAAGAAGCGATAGTATAGAAAAAAGCCATTGTTTGTTTCTGTTTTCAGAAATATGGCGTCAACACCGTGGAACATGTAGCCAACTGCAGATTTGGTAGTGCTGGTGATGAAAGAATAACTCCACACATTCAATGCAGCTAAAATTTCATTTTTTGCTCAGCATTTTGTGGTTTCATTTCAATTTCAATATGATTCTAGTAATCGATGTTTCAAATTTATGTCTCGAACGAACATACGAAAAACAATAGATTATCGATAATTTTTCCGATAATACGACATTAACACCTATTTATATGTTCAAAACAAAAGGTAAAAATGATTTAAAATTTTCACATGCCTGTGTACAAGCATAAGACCATCATTTTTTTAAATATCAACAGTCAAATTGATTAGTAATGCTATATTTTGTTGCAACATATTCATGTGATCTTCAGTATAATACTGTGATTTACATGAATCGACCTTATTCTTCTAGAATGTGTTGAATTCGTTTTCAAATAGAATAAAAAATTAATAGAATATCTTTTTCTTGGTAATATTAATTTTCTAGAAAAAATCAGCAGAACAATTTTTGATTCATCGTTTTTTTGTGGATTAGATGGCATCCGATATATGCGTGTTGTTAATAGTCGAAAGTTTTTATCATTAGAAAATCATCAAATGCTTACTATTTTATAGATGAAATAAACATGTTTTATTTATTAATTATCAAAACACACTTGAACATATTTTTTGCTTGAATTACCAAAATATAGAACTTTTTACACACACACACACACAGGAATACATATGAAAGACTAATAGAAAGAAAAGAAAACCTTTTTTTTGGCTTTTAACCGAGTATAGCAGTTGTCACTTGAGTATTAATACCACATGTACCTTTACCACGTAAAATACGAAAATAACCATGTTCACCCCAACTAGCACCCCAACTATTTTTCACAATCCAATAAGGTTTTGACCCTTCTTTTCCCCAACCAACCATAAGTACAGCATGATCAAGATTTTTTGGATTACAAAAAACTGGATTGAAAATTCCTTTATGATAAAATTGTAGCATTTCAGCATTGAGTGCAACAGATAATGGACCAGTATTCATTAAAGCAGCTGAAATATTTGTTTCATCCTCAAGATAACAACAGAAAAAAAGAAAAACAATACAATTTATATTTCAAATCTAATAACAATATTTTACTTCATCAATTGCTTTCCAATCGATAACTTTAAGACCTGATACAAATTTTGTTGAATCAAGTTTACTTTCACAACTATCTTTTATATAACAAAATGGAATTGGAGGACCACATAAAGTTTTATTATAGCCTGGAGCATTACAAGGTTCACATGGGTTTTTTAATCCAGCACAATATGAATATGTTGATTCAGATTCAATACCACCCTATTGGATTATTTTTAAAATAAATTATTAAAAACAATATGTGAATATTTACTTGTTTCATTAAATATTGAAAACTAAGAAATGGCCAACCACCGTAAACACCACAATCAGCTTGTCCTCTAAAAAACCAATAAATCTTCATATCATTTTTATTAATCTTTTTTTTTTTTATATAGATACAAACGAATCAGTTTTTTGCATGCCATCACAATCGACTATTTGTTCAACAGATAAATTTGTTAATGTTTTACTTTTTAGAGACCATTGACCTTCGACATTTTGAACAGTTGAAAAAGCCCAACATGTACCCACCGATCCTATATATTGTAATAATCATACTTAAATAAATCTTTCCTTTTCGATTCTTTTCTCACCTTGATCTTTTACTGGTGTAACAGCATTATGATCTCGCCAATCGAATGAATCAGGTAGATCTCCAACAGTTGGAATTTTCATATATCTGTTATAACAAAACAAAAAACAAAAGGGTGTATTAAAATGAGATAAACGATATATATATAAAATGAGATTACCTTGATCGAGAATGTATAGGTGGTGCTTGAGGACGCATTAAAATCGTATTTCGAAATTCATCTTCTGATAGGTCAGCAAATTTATTCAATTCAAATGTCATATCATGTCTTAAAATATAGAATAAATCATATAAGACAAAGAAAAAAAATACAAATATTCTACCCGAAAACTTCATTTAATTTTTGAATTCTAATATAATTTTCTTTGAAAATTCTCATTCGTTGTTGATACTCAACAAATGAACCATAGTCACGATCGTTATGATCAAGCCAATTTCTTAAAACAATCATATGCAAAATTATAGAAATATTTATAAACAATCTAATACATACTTAAAAAGAGTTTCTAAGAGTCCATCAGATATATCGTAACTAAATAACGACAAAGATATTTACCAAAGAAATAAAATATCATAATTATAAATGTTACTCTTTTGTTAATGTAGCAAAACTTAAAGCAATAAGACATACGGCAATAGCCGTTCGAAATATCAAACAATTCTGCATGAGGACACAATCTAAAAGTGAAGAAACATTGTTATATAGACTTGTTATCATTACTAAAACAAAGATAAAAAAAAATTATCATGTCACTTAGGTAAAGACCTGCTTTCACAGTAAGACTCATTCTCTCAAGAGATTGCAACTTGTCAAATATATGAAAGAGTTTATTTCTCAAAACCAAAAATTGAATCAATTACGTGATAATGCTTTTCTAAAAAAGAAAACGATAGTACAATTGAAAGAGAGACATATTTTAATTTTAGTATCCATGTTAATAGAACATTTACAATGAAAAAAACAGATATCAATAATAGGAAAATGTTCTTTGATGTAAAGTGAAAAGATAAGAATGTTACTTTATAATACATTAAAGCAAGAGAAAAAACAATGTTGAACTAATAATGTTTATTTCTATTTGGTTGTCACACGTGTTTTTTTATTCCAAGAAAAGTTCGCTCCATATATCTTCTTGAAATAAGGAGTTGGAGTTGATTCAACAACTTCATATTTATAACCTAAAATTGAAAATATAAAATAAATAAGAACTAAAATTAGAAAAGAAAAAAAAATACTAACCCATACGTTCACAATAAATTATAGCATCTTCTTTACTACCAAATTCGACTACAACTGATGAATGAGGATCAGAACTAGAAATATTCTTTTATACTCAACAAAATAATGTTCTTTTATTAAGAAAAATACTTACGATGATGTCCAACCCATTAATGGATTTTCCCAACGTTCTTTTGTGTCCCATTCAACTTTCCATTTCTTAGTATTATTTGTTCCCGATTGCATAGCATTACGAGCAGATACAAATATACGACAACGTCGTTCTTTAAACATATCGCTAGGTACACCAGATAAAGCACCAATCGATTCCTATACATGAAAAAATTTCAAAACCCAAGTAAAAAAAACCCTATAAAATAACATAAACTTGATTTACATCTTGTCGTGGAATTTCAGCAAGAGGACTGGAATCAATAGGTTTTTGTGTATCGACACTTGTACGTCCCCATACGTTTTGAATATCAAATAAAGTTCTATAAATCAAAACAATACATTTTATTGAACGAATCTTTTCAGATTCATCAAAAATTGATTTAAGGATCTGAGGGAAGATCTAGTAAGATTGATCGGGTCTGCTTTATCTTTCATTTTTCATTCCGAGCGCATCATTCGTATACCCCTAATTCAATGACGGATATGTTCTTTCTGAGATATTAAACATTCTTTTTAGCTGAAATTTTCAGGGCATTCTATTCACAGATAGACTTGTTTGTGAGTCAAATCTCAAACCGAAATATCGTCATTCGATTTCTAGGTAGAATTTCGTGATGATGACGATTTCTAACGTAGACAACATTTAACTTCTCTACTAAAAGTATCTACTATTGTAATATTTTGTATTTAAAAGACGATCAATGATTACCTTTGAGGAATAGAAAATAAATTGATTCGTGATGGTTGAACAATAGATTTTAATAAATTCATCTACAAAACAAGAAAAATCACACTTCCTATATTATTATCACAAATATTTAAAAAAGTTTCCAACTAAAATGCTAGCAAGTATCATCAAACCAGTAATACGATTTGATGCAAATGTATTCCAACAAGATTCACTTTTATTTAAATTAACTTTTTCAATTTGTTGATGAAGATGATAACTAACAGCAATAAGACCTAAATAATACGGCCATGTTTGATCAACATTTAAACCTGCTGTAATTAAATGCGAAATCATTCCAATAGAAAACGCTCTTAACCATAGTTTTGTATCTTTTTTAAGAAGTAAAGCTGTTGATTTTATACCAACAATTAAATCATCGGTTTTATCTTGATGTGCATATATTGTATCATAATGAAGTGTCCAAGCAATACCAGCAAAATATAATGGTAGTATTAAAGATGGAAATACAATTCCTGTTGCTGCTGTAAAACCCATAAGTGCACCCCTATATATTTTATTTTTCAAAAACTAAGTTTTCTCAATAAGTAAAAATGAAAATATATTCTTACCAATTAAATGTTATTCCAAGAAAAAGTTGTGGCCAATAAGTATATCGTTTCATTAATGGATATGTAACAACAGGTACTAGTGATATTATTCCAAGAATAATTGATGGCATATTTAATTGAATTAATACAAAAAAAGCTGAGATTAATTGTATACCTGTCCATATTAAACCTTGTCTTATTGTTATTTCACCACTAGCTATTGGTCTTGATTTTGTTCGTGCAACACGTTGATCAAATTCTTTATCCCAAAGATCATTTATTGTACAACCAGCACCTCTCATTAAAATTGTTCCAACACCAAATAAACCTATTAACATTAAATTATTCAATGTTGTACCAGCAAATGCAATACTCCATGCACCTGGTAAAAATAATAACCATGAACCAATAGGTTTATCAATACGACTTAAACGAATATAAGGTTGTATCGATTTTGGAATAATATCATAGATATTTTGTGGACGACGAAATGATGACTTGTGATGTCGTTGTTGTTGTTGTTGCTGCAAACAAATTGATGTTGTTGTTATACGAACAATTTGAGTACGGAATATCAATGGACATGTTTGACGTAATAATAGAATCATTAAAACAATCTAGAATAACATTTATTTAAAACAAAAAAACAAACAACCTAACAAATAGCACATGAGCTAGATTTACTAGTTGAATTTGTAAGAAAGAAAAAGCAAATACTCTATCTTGTATAGAAAAAAAAACATAATAAATTATGATGAATTATATTCTTTCCATATACGTTCAAAGAGTGGTTTACAATAAACTTTTGAACGTAATTTCGTACAAAGTAAAAATGCACCGGACATTTTTCGATGTAAAGAATATGAATCTTCTGGTGGTGGTGTTAAACGATGTTTAAGCATAACTGGTATTAATTTATGTATATTTTTTGTTGTACTTTGTAAACCAAAATCAAATTTTTCATCTGTACGAAAACCTTCGCCTAATATCATAACAGCATTAACATGTGCATTGATCATTTCACGTGTTTCATAACCAGTTAGAAATCCACATTGAACTGATAAGTCTTTAATACGTTCAGGATCATTATCAGCTGAAGCACGAATTATTTTTATATAAGTATCAATAAATATTGGACTAAATGTACGTGATGCACCAAAATCTATAAGACCAATTGTTTTATTTATTGGATTAAATAAAAAATTAGACCAATTTGGATCTGTTTGCATGGCTTTAAATTTAAATAATTCTAATAAACATATTTCTAATATAGATTTACCAATAAGATCACGTGTTTCTTGATCTTCATTAACAGCTTTATCAAGTGTAATACCATCGAAATATGTTGTTGTTAAAACATTTTTTGTTGATAAATTATCTATTATATCAGGTACACGATATAGTGGATAATCTCTAAACCAATCTTGAAAACGACGACCCCATTTAGCTTCACGTATATAATCAACTTCCCAATTTAATTCACGTTTAGCAACTTTTATAACACTTTCAATATAAAGACCTCGAGGTAAAATATTCCAAAAATTGAGTAATGCAACTAAATTATTAATATCACTTTCAATTGATTTACCTACACCGGGATATTGAATTTTAACAGCAACACGCTTCTTATCATCTTTTAAAATACCATAATGTACTTGACCTATACTAAAACGAAAAAGATATTAAAATTATTGTTGATTTATAGAAGAAAAACTAAAAAAAATTTAACCTAGCAGCAGCAAATGGTCGATCATGAAATTCTTCAAATTGATCCCGCCAATTAGTACCAAATTCATTCATCATTACTTCATTCATTTGCCATTCAGGCATAAAATCTGCTTGTTGACGAACACGTTCGAAAATTTGTTGAACATTTTCTTGAATAAGAAAATTATCTAAAATGAAAATAAAATAGTTCACAAAAACAGAAAAAGATAAATAAAAAAAAAAATTAATTTTTACCTTGAATACTTATCATTTGTCCTAATTTAAGTGCAGCACCACGTACTTTACATAAGGTATTAACAATACGTTCAGCATTAGCTTTAGATAAATACGGAGAAAGAGCAGCATTTGAAGGTACTTCTTCAAGACCAACTGTACGTCGAACCATTGAACCTAAAGCACCAACACCTAGACCAGCAGCAAGAGAACCAAAACTTGCTAAACGACCAATTCTTGTTGTTGGTACAGATCGTGCTTGAGCTTCCGTATTTGTTGGTGGTGGTGGTAAAATCAAATTTTGATTTTCCTCAAGTGTTAATGGTATTGTCGACTCATCTATTGTAGAAGAGGTAGTAGAGATTGGTTCAACTTTTAAAGAATCAGTCTTAGTTGTTGGTATAAAGAAGTTAACTGGTTTTTCAGCTGGATGATATGGAACACTATCTATTGTTTTGTCAGATACTAATGGTTTGGATTTTTGTTCAATAGACGATGGTTCTACTGCGACAGTAGAATCTATTTTAGGATGAGCTGGAATTGGAATTTGATCTTCAGCTAGACTAGTTGTTGCTGTTGTTGTTTGAACTGTTGGTGTATCTATTGTAGGAGCATGAGCTGGAATTGGAACTTTAGTTTGAACTAAATTTTGGGTTCTTGTTACTGTAGATATATCCATTTCAGGAAAAGTTGGGATTGTGATTTTATCTCTAGTTAAAGTAGTAGTAGTTGTTATTCTATCGTCAACTGGCTGAGTCACAGAGACTGTTGATGATGGTGAAGATCGAATAGCATTGTTTATAGCAATACCCGTTTGACGAACAAGGACACTAGATTTCCATGCTGTGCTAGATACGGTATTCGAAATATTAATTCGACTCAATTGATCAAAACCCTTTGATACGAATTCAGTGAAAGGTTCAATTATATATGATGAACGTCGACGAAAATCATTTGATTTAGTTGCTTCATTGACTATTTGTTGACTTAATTGAGTTAATCCACGTAAAAAACGAGCTGCATCTGACAAACGATAAGACATCTAAAACGAAAAA